TTTCATTTTTTGCATTCACTTCAAAGGATAAAAAACCCATCTTCTTACTGGAAAACCTTAGTATGGATCTTCTTTATATGATTCTTTGCACCAATACACACAGAGTCGAGTTTTACAGGCTGCGAATTTGTTCCTTCACCAATGACTTGTGCGCCCCACGTCCGTTTTTCGAACACCAAATGCAAAAAATACAGAAAAATCAGCTGTTGGGAGTGGGTGTGTGTGTGTGTGTGTGTGTTTTGTTCTTGAAATCCTCTAATGCTGCAATTTCTAGCCCTTTTTCTTTAGCACGATGGAGCTCAAAAGTTGATTCCCATAAATTAATCATCATCTGCAGATTGGGAGAAAAGAAAACGTGATTGATTCTAGAAAAAAATAAGTCGAAAAGTTATAAGCATATATGGAGGGAGCATTTTCTGATCTATTTGCAACACAAGCAATAATATTTAGGCTATGTTTGGTAACCAAATAAGCTAACTTATAGTTTATTTGGTTAGCTTGTAAGCTTTCTAAGTTATTGTATTTAAATAAGCTTTATTTGGTAAGACGAGCTTTTTTAAAAAGTTCGAGCTTATCTCATAAATTCTTTATGTAGCTTTTCAAATAAGCTCGTTAAATTTTTTTATTTCAGCTAGTTTTACCAAACATAGCATTAATGGTCGCTGGTGGTTGAAAAAAGGATGTAAAAGTAAAAAAAAAAAAAAATCGAGGATTGGAATTTCAGATTAAGCTCTCCTTTGCTTAGAGAAATACCAAAAGCACTGTTCCTGAGCAAATCAGCCTCTCTAAAAGGTTAAGTGGGACATTAACTTTGTAGCTAAAATGAGTGTTTATTCGTCGTGATGTATTAAACAACACTAATATTCAAAAAGAAAAAAAAACGATTAACACGAAAACATATAAAGAACTCACCATTCGAAGGATCAACGTGCACAAAGAAACTAGCAGCCACAATGAGATAGCAAAGAATGAGCATTAAACCTTTAAAATAATTCGATTGGCCTTCCTGCAAAAAATGAAGCAATTTTACACTAAAGATATTACTAAATAAAAATCCGTTGTAAGAAACATTTTCTAACATTTAAAAAAAATGGTTTGAAGGAGAAATGCGTGTAAAAACGTGTCTCATCCAATGCATGGAAGAATAAGGTCTCTGTTTGTATCACGAAATATAAGTCGTATGCTAAGCAAAATGATAGTTTTATTAACGACAAATATAATTAACCAAGAAAAAAAGTAGAAACAAACCTGAAGCATAAATGCCACGACTAATACGGTGATAAAGAGAGTCGCGGTTTCAAAGAGTTGAAAGTTCAAATCCATAGGCTTTCCCATGAACCAACCAACAATTACACAAAACGGGATCTGCATGTATAATAACACCATATTATTCAATATTTCCCAATTATTATTCGAGAAAAATGCTTTTCGAAGTTTATAAGTCCCAATTATTTACTTTTATTAGGACTTACCACAAACATTGATATCTGAGTAGATGATCCAATTGCAACTCCAAGTGAAATATCCTGGAAAAATAAAGAGCAATTAGATGAAAACAGTACAATTTTTTTTTAAAAAAAAAAATATTAAAATATGTATTATCTACGGCCAACAAAAAATGTTAATCAATACTCACAAGCTTATCCTTCATTGCGAACATGATAGCACTGGCGTGTTCTGCAGCATTACCCACAAGCGGAAGCAAAATAACACTTATAAAAGCAATGGGAAGGTTCATTGAATCCGAAGCCCCCTGTAAAACAACGAGGAAATATTTCATAGAGTGAAAATTTCGTTTTTCTAAGCACTTTCCTAGTTGTATGCCGAAAGGCAGCTTAAATTAAATTAAACCGCATAAATACGTGAAAACAACGGACCAAATTGTTGCAATTGGCAAATTGCTAGAGTTATTCGATAAATCTCTTTCATGGTACATTCATAATAACACAATCATTATATCATGGATAAGGTTGGATTTTCTAACTATTTCGCACACTATATAAATAATGAGTATACATATACATGATTGCACAACTACATTATATTTAAAAAAAATATATATCAATATTTAAGTACGTAATATATTCACCAAAAATACCATACTTTTTTCTAACTTTGGTGCAGATATTGATATGATTAATTACCTGAATTGCATCAACGAGATATCCAGATAGAATGGATATCCACAAAGTCAAAATCGAAAGCCACGCAATTGCTTCCCAGTGTGTAATCTCGGGAACTTCATCTTCATCCGAACTTTCATCATTATTATCATTCGACTGCACCAAACACCAAAGCGAAGATATTTTTCAGTAAATTCTGCTTACTCAGTTGAGTGTAATCGCAAAATACATAATCATAGGACAATAACGTCCCTGATTCCAAACAAAAAGACAGGATTAGAAAAGAAAATAATTTATATTGTTAAGAAGGGAAACATTTCCCCTATCAATTCAAACTTATAAATATCGTTACAATATTACAAACACGCACTCGGAGGTTTATTTTATTCTAACAAACACTCCATCAATAAGTGTGCAGTTGTAAATAGAAACAAAGATCAAAGGGGTCTTTAAAATTTCAAAGTAAAGCTCACCACTTCTTTTATTTTTTTTTTTTCTTTCTTTTCCTTTCTGAAATTACAAAAAGCCTTAAAGAGTAATTTTTTGTAGTTAACACTACTAGACAATATGCAAGTTTTGCCTATTTCTTGATTTAGATTTAAAAACAAAATATGAAGTCTCTCTCTCTCGATAAGATTATCGAAAAAAGCATAAACACAAACCTCATCGAGAGAAGAATATAGATTTTGTTGACTCTTGAGCTGAAAGTAAAGGTAGCTAGCATAAGCAATCAGCATTATGCAGCTACTAACTCGGGAAAGAGCAATCTCCGATTTTCCTTTATGCAACTCCGTGTGAGTGAAGTGAAGCACAGCTGGAAATAAAATTCCCATAACAGCCATCAATAACAGTCCTGAATTCACTAGGGCAGTGGCCTAAAAAGTAAACACAATTTTGGACGTTAGATTTTACTTTACGGAGTCCCATACTCAAATTGCACCTAAGGTAAATATAAGAAGGGGTGCAGAAAATTCGGTTAACCGAGCCGAATTGATCAAAACCGAATATTTAGTTCAGTTTTTGGTTTTACATTTTCATAAAATTTTGGTTTTCGGTTCGGTTTGGATAATAGTGATCGATTAACCAAACCAAACCAAACCGAAAACCGATTTACACACACACACACACACACACATATATATATATAATTTTATTTTTACATATAAGTTATAAAAGCATTGATTTGCTTCAATGATTCATAATTTTTTAGCTTGAATGACCCCTAAAATGGACCAAGCATTAATTTGTACTTAAGATTGACTTCATCATAGTCCAAGTCATGGTTTGGGTTCGAGATCTTTCTTAGAGGAAAATTTTAAATTTATTGAGAATATTAAACAATGAAAAATCAATTTTTTGTTCAGCTAAAAATTAGGAATTTATTGAGAAGATTAATTATTTATTGCGATTAAGGATAACCAAACCGAACCGAACCGACCGTGGGATTTTTTCTTTTTATAAATTTCGGTTCGTATGTCGGTTCTTATAATGGATAAACCAAATTTTCGGTTCAGTTCGGTTTCAACCGAATGAGCAACCCTAAATATAAGGCAATAGCACCAAACTCATAAACCTCATGAAATTACAATTACAACCTTGACATCTGTTTCACTTGGGAGTAGAAAAAAAAGGCAATGGAGTTTCGGTAAATAGCACGAAACCTAGGGGCACTTTAGTAATTATGTCGAATTCAATACTTTTTCCTAATGATCCATCACCTTATTGAATATTTGAACTTTGTGATGATGAACTATCCCGCCACAGAAAAAGGCACATCCGAGCACCAAAAGCATATTAGACAAGATGGACCCGAGCAAAGACTGCTTAACAACTCTAATCATCCCATTTTTCAGAGCATACATTGAAATTATCATCTCGGTAGCATTGCCAAATGTCGCATTAAGAAGGCCACCAACTGCAGAATCAAATAATGAAAAAAGATTATTAATGGCATTGATGATAGATTGATTTTTTTAGAAAAAGGTAATGATTTGACCAGATATCGGTTTCAAAAGTTTCAAGATAGTGATTTTAGGACATAGATTCGTAAAACAATATTGTAATTACTTAGCATAATTTTTTTATTTATATATAAGCAAGAAAAAGGTTAAGCTCTACATAAGAACAGGGCAAGCAGCATCGTGAATAAATGATTTTACGATAGGTTTCAATAAGCTATTCACAAATTATTTGAATCTATCAGTAGATTATAGCAATAAGAAAAATGAGAACATGTATGATACCGATTGGGCCCGTATAACATGCTAGTTGCCTGCAGCAAACGGGAAAGAACGTCAATTTACAGACTCTTTTCAATGAGAATGGAAATTAAAAGTGTGGAGAACTAAAAAAACTCCATTTTTAGTTACTTACTCAGTAGCATAACCCAATCGCTCGGCTAATGGAGTAATACCAAGTAGGCTAAAGAAAAACACCCAGCCCTGTACCACACCATGGATCAAATTACATAAAAAGAAATAATAATAATAATAAAATTGACATGTATATAAATCTCAGTAACATCAAAACTTTTAGAAAAACCGTTCTTTTTTTTCAATCGACCGAAAAATTGTGTTTTCTTACATGAAGTTCAGTAAGATAGTGTAGCATAATTGCGAGTGGTCCAAACGGCAGCAGAACGTTAATCTTAGCTTTGATAAGGACAATGTATATACTTCTCAATATGCTGTTACGGTGCACTTTTCTTAATACCCAAGAAGCCGAAAATCTTCGATTCAACAAGATGTTAGATGATTCGAAATTTAACGGGTGCACTTTGTTCGTCGACTGGGGCCCACTAAACAGTATCTCCTCATCCGATACAATGTCTAATTTCTCTTCCACAGATCCCATCTGGACAACAAAATATCAAAAATCACATTCACATATATCGATAATCCTTACACCATAACAGTGATCACATGCCTCAAATCACCAACACAAAAAGCTAGAGCACGACTCCATATAAAATGCATTTTATTACAATATCACTGTGTAAAGATGAAATTGCACATTCATGATTAGATCATGATTACTAATAAGTTGATCAATTTCAAGAAAATATAGAGGGATTGAAAATTTAGGCAATGTGAACTGCAATTGATTCTCAAATGCTTCAGTCAGATGGGTCTCAAAAAAAAATAAAAAAAATAAAAAAAATAAAAAAAAAAAATTGCTGGGTAACAACAAAACAGACCATACTAAATTAATGAAGATTTTTACATTCTAAATTGAGTCATACCTAGTCAACATAGAACAAGGATGGATAACAAGCAAACAGCCCAGATCAAACAGACCACAAAATTCAAGACAAAAAGATAAAGTAGTTAATTATTACCAGCAAAAAGCAGGCACATTTACACAGACCCAGATCAAGATCCTTTACAAACACACTTGATACACAAACAAAACCCCCAAAAAAGTTAATAAAGATCAAGTCTTTACCATCGGTGAGCAAACAAAGACTCCTCCTTTATCCCCCACCTGATGCAAGAAAAAATAGAGACTAACAAGA